ACCTGCTGGTCGTGTTAGACTCTTCAGAGTCCTCCTCATGGTGCTAGAAGAAGACTACTACTTCGTCTGGATGATGAGTAGTTTTTTTACGCGGTTTTCTTCTTCTCGATCCTTTTTTCCTGGTCGAGCGCCTCAAGCAGAGCACTTCCGGAGGAAGTGGAAGGTGTACTAGCGTGATCCACTTCTTGGAGGAAGGCGCTGGAAGCTGCTCCACTTTCAGCGGCCGGTTTGGCGATGTCCATCGTCGACTGCACATGCTGGCACAGCCAATAGAAACAGATACACCCGAGGAAAAGAATAACGAGCGGCACAACAACACATACGATCAAACACCACATTTAGAGTTTACCTTAATTCATCTTTGGAGTGCTTTCCCCTTAGGAAAAGGCTCCAAGATGCTTCTCAAGATGAATTAAAGGAAGCCTTAAACCATGCAGCCGGTGCTCATTCCCTGCTCCGGGGGCGGAGCCTGCAAACCAGCGTCGGCCTTGTCGGCAGAAAACAAGAAAACCTTCTTGGTGGTTTCGGCATCTCCTGTTTCCGCAGCACCATATCCTTGCTCAACATCTCCCTCAATGATGTTGATCCTGTCTTGCTCCTCGTCGATGATCTCCTTTGCGGAAACGTTGGACTCCTTGGTGTTCGTGGCGTACATCTTGTTGATCTTCTTAGTCGAGACCACGTGTCTTTCTACTTTGTCTATATGTAAAATTCAAAACCCCACTCTATCTTCGGGTTACTCAGTGCCCATATATACGATGTTAGTAGTATAATAGTCAAGGTGAAGATTTTTCTCTATGGTGCTCTTGAGTAGTTAAAAACCACCTCAGATGCGGGTCGTTCGTTCTCACTCTTGAATCTTCATGCACTGATTGTTACTACCATTAGACCATTTACTAGCACGTGTGCCACTTTTACTTTTGATTTGTAGAAGATGTAGGAATAGCAGATGCTGTCTCAAAATATTCATGCCAAAGCCCAACTTTCTGACGAGGCGACAACTTCGACTGCGATACAGTTTTAAGAGCGCCTCGATCTAGCAATGAATAAGAAATCAATTTTGATGAGCAGCTCATCTTCTAGAATTTCTATAATCGTCCACACGGCTCTCAGCTATTTGCGATTATGGGGAACGGGCAGGGGAAGGCGCACTTGCGAATCCGATGTAGTTCGATGTTTGTGATCCCGATGTTTTCTCTCGAAACAACAATGAAAGAATGCTGACGAGTACCATTCTTTTTTCTGCCCAGTTAACATACTACTTGCTTTTTCCTAGTTCTCTTTAGACTTAGTCGAACCCATCGCGATCTTCGCAACTGACAGAAACTTCTTCCCGTTCCCTTTTACTAAAACAAGTCGTCATATAGAACACCTGTCTGCAAATGCCTTCTGTGGAACCCGTTCCACATGAAAGATCCGTTTGGATGTACTTAACTTGCTTGGATCAACAATGTTATTGCACGAATGCTTAATCACTTTGGGTGTAATTGGTCGAATAAAAGGGTTTAGCGGGTTGCAACATTGCTCGAATGATCGACAGCGACTCTAGTCTAATTCTCGACTTGTCCCCTGTAAAAATCAATGTAATCCTGTTCGCACTCGTGAAGGTCGTCAGCAGGAATCACTAAAGCGTGTAAAGGCGGACCGAATTC